ATTTTCTTTCATTTCATATGAACATTCACAATGGCCATTATTCTATTTTCAAACTTAATTAACACGCTCGCCATCGTCACTTAATTGGATATTTATCCACATAGGACCACATTTTTAAAAATATAATATTTTTTCATATTACGTTCTTCGTTAGATTTTCGTTTGTTTTAAAATATATGAAATAAAAAATTAATGAAGAGAACCAAAGGAAGGCAACCCCGAGCTCCCTTTTAAGCTTTCCACTTACTATATCAAAAATAATTGATTGAAAATTTTTTTCGCTGTTGTCTTTAATTTTATTTATAATAAATTTTAATTTTCAAACCAAGTTTATTAACCAAGGGGTCCTCAAAGGTTTAATAATCCCGACCCCGGGCCCTTTGTATATAATATAACGTTGATTTAATTAATACGTTAATTAATTAGTAAGCCACCGTCCCTCTCATCTCCTTCTAAATAAACCAAACAATGAAAATATCTGAAATATTATAAATTATCTTTGTATAATATCTATGAAGTCTAGTTATTAATGAACAGCATTTCATTTAATAATAGCACGAGACGAACTCGTCCACCTTGACCGAAAATATTCCAAATGTCCCCTTATCCTCGACCTGATACCACGATTAAACGAAAATAGTCTACTCATTCTGCGTCATTCGCGAAGGGACATCATTTATTAAAATCTTCATTGTGCATTCACACAGGTAACTGTGTTCACGAATTCAGTTAAGCGAAGGGGAGTGTTATCGAATTTCCTTATATAAGAGATATGGATAACAGGAAGTGCGTGTGACAGTAATGAGAAACAAATTAACCTTCGAATAATACAGTTAATTGCTTCCCTGTTATTCAAAACCATACGGTACTAACAAACATTTAATTTCCAATTTTTATTTTGTTATTTACAAAAACCTGTTATTCATACTGAAATTTTGTTCCAAAGAGTTTCTATAGAATTTTTATACTGTAAAAATTTTCTGCATGATTGTTGTACAAATTTATAAATTTAAGTTTGCAAAAAAATTTCTGAACCCATGATTATTATTTTTATTGTTGGTATAGGTTTCAGAGTGCTTTATAAAAATTCCACGTATCGAGGTCAGCAGCTCGTTTGATCGTGTTATTCGCCGGTATTTAAAGCACTACCCTGAATAAATACGGTATAACCAAATGAAACATGTAACTGATATATTTTTTCAGTGCGCTTTTCGAGTTTATCGATAATTGATTAGTGTTTCGATAATGTGACTTTTCGTTAGAAGCACTCTACAAATATTCCATATTTTCGATAAATTGGTACTAGGGCAGTTATTTTTAACAAATAAAATTTTAAACATCTTAACATCCCGATTAATCGATTCCATAATCACAATATGAATTCACGATAACGAACCATGGTGTTCGTGCTACTAATTAATTTCCAGAGATGCGGTTCATTATGCTTGTAAGCTGATCCACGTCTAAAATCAACAACGAATTTTCAGAAATATATCCGACGTGAAATTAAAATTGAGAAGAGGACAGAAATGAATTTCATTATTCAAGGTTTTTGAAAAAAATTCAATATCAAAATTATTCTATTCTATAACAAATAAAATAATTTGACTCTCGTTATTTATAAAATTAATTTTATTGGAAGAATAAAAATCCAGCTTCGACGTATTTCTTTCTAAAGGAAATTCAACTCTAACGAAGCATAACAGAAGACAAGTTTTATCCGCAGTGTAGAAGATGGAAACAAGCCACTAATAGGAGTTGCAAAAGAAGCGCGAAAAGAAGGAAACCGTGCAATGGAAAGGCTGTGCATCGTTGTTTCATAGTTTTTCCACAGAATTTTCCCTCGAGTCTCATACATTCTACGCGAACCGCTTTCAACCAGATCTTTAATTAATTCCTGCTCTGGGGGTATATACAGATAGCTACACTTCCTAACGCAACGTGAAAACGAAGTTGAATGTGTTGTAAATTCTAATATAATCCGACATGTGGTCTCGACTGACCATTCGAATATTGAAACTGTACAGAAAAAAATACCTCGGGTTACTTTGAACATTTTATCGAAGCACAAATATTTCTCCCTCGAATGTGCAATTAAAAGTAAGTAGAATTTAATTAATTCATTGTACCTTGGTCGCTAATTAAAAATTTGATAATTATAATTAACCTTTGAATGGCGAAGTCTAATTAGAATTTAAATTTATTTTCAAATTCCCTTTTATTTTTTTATATCTATTTGAATATTATTTTTAATACATACAGATCGTTCGATTTCTAAACCAGAATCTTTTCTACAGAGGGAATTTGCTTATCCGAATGCATGCTTGTGTCTCTCCCTATTGTGGAGAAGGAATCGCATCCTCGACTGAGAAATCAATTGCACCCGTATAGCCTTGACGTGGCAAGCATTCATGAAACAATGACTATGACTACCGTCAGCATCGTTCTTACGTCGAAGTGTTCGTACCGTTTTAGCGCAGCATTGTCTGACGGCCAGCATTGTCCCTGTTATACTTGGTCTCGAAGAGAACCTGATTGGACGTCTCGCGTTCTATAGCGATGGTGTAATCATGAAGTCAAAAGATAGTGGTAATATAGCAGGTGGAACATTGTCTTAATTAGGTAAGATAATTCGGTAAGTTGGTATTTTGTGTTGCGTTAGATGAACGCTTAGAAAATATTCCTATTCTCAGAACTTATAAACTGAAAAGCGCATGGCTCTCTCCATGGTCCGCCGTTCGAGGATTAAAAAGTTGCTGTAAAGCGTGGTGCTTTCGCGCTACGAGATTATAAACAAAACTTCTAGTTTGCGTGTAACTATATTCATTGACTTTATGAATTTACGGTTGCATCGTAACAAATTAATTCGTGAAGTTTATTAATGGACTCTCGTTTTTACAAGTTTTATCCGCAAGAGTTTTTAGCTACATTTTTAGATAATAGAATAACCTTTGTTATAGTTCGATTGAAGAATGTTTTTTTAAAAAGTTTTATTTTATTCCATCTAAATTGATTCGATAATTGTTATAAAACTATGTTGGAACTCTATTAGAACGTGTGAAATAAAAAATTCTTTTTCACGCCAGCAGAAAATCAACGAATTTTCCTCGGTTATCAAAATATTTCCCTTGGTATTTTCCCTGTCACAATTGCCCCCATAATTGGAATTATCACTTCACCTATTATGGTGAAAAATATATGTGATAACGTGAACAATAGACCATGTCATTTATTTAAGAGAAAATAATTGCACAAATTTTAAAATAATCCTCTGTTTAAAAAAACTAATGTTAAGTATATTTACAAAAATATTTAATTTCATACGGTATTTTAGTTCAATTCCATTATTATAATTTATTCATATCGTGAACATAAACTCTTAAATATATTGTCTGTGGCACACGTTCCCCTAAAAGTTAATTAAACTACAGTAGTTTTAATAAAACATTACATGGTTTAGCTCTAATGTCCATGCCACGGCCATTGTTCAAGTTATTTTAATTATTTTAACGCAAAGCTGCAACAGAAACGCCTGCATTCTCGCCCGGTGAGTTGGCTGGAAAACGTTTGCATTTTTAACGGAACCTGATCCTGTTAACTCTGTACGTACTCGTGTCACTTTGAGATAACATATCAAATTTCCGTCGTAAATTCAAAACTTTTCTTCCACGCGTTTTCACTCACCACCATTGTGACCTACATGTATCGTAACAAGTAAATTATACGATGCAAATACTAAATTTTATCGAGGAAGTTAACGATCCTCGAAGCAGAGTTATATTTTTCTAAAAAATTAGAATTTTGACACGTTTTATGGTATTTTGTTAAATGGACATTAAATGATTTAAATGATGTTTGTTTTTTAACGGTGGTGAATACAAAATTACATGAAAACATCAGCTGGAAGGCAAGAGGTATTTCTGCTTCTATTTGTTTACGAGTGCGCGTCGATATCTGTTCCATTTGCACTTGCATTGAGGTAATGCCAGAACAAAGGAGACCTCCCAAATGAATTCCTCTATTCTCTTATATTCGCGACATTTTCGCTTGCGGCCAGTTTGCGAAGCGCGTGACTTCATCAAGATAACAAAGCGTTTAATTCGTTGTCACCAGAAGTAACACGGTTCGGTTATCCCATATGAAAGAAAGTACAGGGTGATTCTAAATTATTGTCAGAGAGCTCTTTTCAAAAATGTATCATCTCCCACATCGATGCCTACTCTAATATTTTCTAAAGGAAATCTAATATTTTCTAAATTGAATCTAATATTTTCCATATTAAATCTAATATTTTCTGAATTGAATCTAATATTTTCTAAATGAAATCTAATATTTTCTAAATGAAATTTAATATTCTCTAAATTAAATCTAATATTTTCTAAATGAAATCTAACATTTTCTAAATCCACTGCCTGTTACGTCGGCCCTTAAAAATTCCACCGCCTTCGTACACGTGTGTCCGTGTTAATTTGTAATCGCACGTATCTAAAGAGACTGTATTAATACGAAAACAAAGAGCCACGACACGAATCACCTGTTCTGGGTCTCGTGTTCGTGAGTCTTTGCGAAAGCTTACTCGACTTGCACGCAGCTTGTTTCACATGACACTTGACCCCGATGTCGTGTGTACACACGAAGTGAGCGATTTAAATGATAATGATAGTTGGCCTTCGTCATCCTCAAAAGGTAATTATTATTTTGAAAATGTGAATAGATTAAATTAGATTTATAACACGCTGTTCTAACCGTGTAAGCGTGAAAATTGATTGAATTATACGTGGCAATTTTTCTCGTGAACTTAATTTTCAATTAATATATAATTATAATCTTATACAAATAAAAGTGTTCGACCTATTCTGTTGCTTTTGATCATAGATTTGAATAAAAAATACACTCTCTGTGTAATACGCAATATAGTACCTTTCCCTAATTTATTCACCGAGAAAGTTAATTAATTTGATGCATCGTAAATTGTTTCTAAGAAAGTTGTATACATTTACCTGTTTATCCTGTTCTTTGCCTTTAGCGGTGATGAGACGATCGCAGTAACAGCCCTCCAACAAAACAACGCCGCTGGGCCTCGTACAGCTTTCATTTTCGTAGTAAAACAGTACATTCTGAAACAGACATGTTCAAACAGTTATCATCTGTCCAAAACAACTTGTCCAATTTATCGAGCAAAGAATTGATAAACGAGTTTCTGTCAACGGTATCGTTCTCAAAATTCCTTTATCAAACTATAATAAATAATTTCACGTGTACAGTATCGAGCATAGAAGGTTTCTCCAGGGAAAATGGCGAAGCCCCCTTTTTAATGATTAAAAATTATATCATTTCGTTTCCAAATTATTTTTAATATTAATATCATAAAAATTAATATTTAAAAAATTCCTGCTTCCATTGTAACGCCATTTCTCCTAGAGATATAGTCTACTTTGCTCGATGTTGTACATGGATGCAATTTTCGAACGTTGTTTTGATTTATATTTAAAATTTTATTAAAATATTGCAAATTAACGAAACACAATTACGTTATTCGAAACGATAGAGTACACTTATCGTTTAGAGAGGAGACTCGTTCTGGTGGAAGGGAATTATCGGGCAACGAGGAGCTGAAGCAAGGAGGATGAAAAGGCAGAAAAAGAGAAACCGGAAACTGTTTCGTATGAGAACTGCACTTCGCGACTTTCACGAACAAGTGCCGAAAAGAGTGCAAGTTAATCAAAGCATCGAGCTCTGAGCAAAATTCCTCAATGGTACTCGACTGACTTTCTCAAACTTTTCGAACAAGTTCACTGAAAATACGAAGCTTTCTACTCTTTTCCAAAAAGGAAACAACTCGCCTGATGACGCGTTAAGGTTGTTTGCATGAATCGGTACGGAAAAGTTTTTTTTATGCACCCAAAGTAGCGTGCATGTTTAACTGAAAACTTCGAGCAATCGCATTTGTCGAGGAAGTTTTTAAGGAATTGGAGGAATTTAATTATAGGGTGAGTTTTAAGGGACATATAAAAGTTTAAGAATGTGTTATATATGCAGAATAAAAGTACTACAGGTAAAAATGTTTATGGTAACACTTTGACTGCCACATCATGCATAAATGAGTGACCTATTTTCCTGTATCATTAGGAATTCTTTGACCTAATTAGAAACACTCGTATTAGATAGTTGAAATTATGAATAAAAGATATAATAAAATATTGTGAAAATAATAAATAAAATTTGTGAAGTATAAAAATAATAATTGATGAAATTTTTGCAGTCAATGTGTTAAAGCACAGTAGTACAAGTCAACCATTAGGGAGACGCATCCTTTTTCTTTTAATTTACCGCTTTATCCGAATGAATGACTCATTCCTTGATGTTTAAAAGATGAAATTAAATTATTTAATTTATACAATAAAATAAGCTTTGCATAGAATACAATTCTTTGAAATTTCAAAGCCTCCTAATCTACAAAAGAGTTACACGAATTTCTAAAAAAAACCAAAATGAAAATAAGATCCCAGGCGTTTAACGGGACAATGAATTAATTGAATTTTAATTCTTTACACTAGACTGTGGTATCGTACGTCTCCGCGAGGCTGGAAAATTCTTTTGTCCCGTAAAACCGCTAGCTAAAGGTCCTTTTGAAACGGCTCGTTCGCAAGGGATTCAATGCGGTTAATTTCTCTGACCTGTCTCGGGAAAGTCGCGAAAATACCCGCGTTCTCGTCCCAAATGAGATTAAAAAAAGGTTGGGTAGAAGAGGTAAAAAGTATCGACTCACCTGATATAAAACGAACCATCGTAATTGCCACTTTCCTGAGTCGGCGGTCCGCTTGTGCAAGTATCCAGTCAACGAGTGATCGTAATGAGCTTTCTCCGAAAGCATGACCAATTGCGAATCGTTCACCCTCACTGTAACGTGTTACAAAGATTTCTTTCGAAATTTGGTAATTCGATTGAAGGAAGAAAAGAAATAAAAAAAAAGTATGACCTTGTCCACGTCTTTACACTTTTTCTCTATTCTTTTCGTTACTAACTCCAACCACCCATTTATATTTTTATTTGACGGTAAAAGAAAAATAATAAAAAGGAAAAGAAGAAAAGTTTCGTTCTGGACCAACCATTGGACTTGGCAGTAAACTTAATTATTTCTTTTAGTGCTGTTCTTTTGTTCCTCTTTTTTTCAGATTATTTAATATCCGATTCTTAGAACACGAGAAAACGTTTTCTAGCAAATAATTCTTCGAAACAGAATAACCGGTATATTTTCTAATAACTAATCGTTATATGATAATTTTTGTTAATTTATTAAGCTGACGTGTGAAAACAACATTTTTCTATAAAATGATCTGATAAAATTTGACCATGTCGTCTTAAAAACCGGATAAATACTACTTGAATAATCCATATTATAATCATAGCGAAAGAATATGAAATTCTTTTCTGAAAATATAAATCACTGAAAAGTGCCTATAGCTCTTATTCGATACGGTGTATTATTCGTAATGAAAACGTGCACGTAGATTTTAGTCTCTCGATAGAATTCGAAATAGGCTTGTAAATCGCGTGCGTTCTGAATATTCTTGCATTAGATTAACACGCGACATACAAAATTGCGACAAGTTTGCATATATTAACGTTGAATATTAGATTACCAAACGTTTCGATAAAGTTTCGCGGATTATCGAACCGCGAATTCTACACGTTGTTTCCGTTCTAATATTTACATTTATCTGCAATTCTAATGCTGCACACATTCGTAACAGATTGTTATAATTTTACAAAACGATAGATAAAGTGAAATGTCTAAAGCACATTAAAAATTTCATGCGCTCATTGTAGTAAAATTAATATTTTTATAAAACAGAATTTGATATTATTCGAATAAAATTTTGTTTATAATCGAATTATTCTTTATTTCTCTCTTTTATTATTTATACCATTCCCTTTATTTAATACTTGTTATTATTTTAATTAGAAACAATTATTTTCAAACAGAGTAAAGTATATCTATTAATTTCCTCATTACACTAATCACGTTTGCAAATTAAAAAGTATCCAAAAAATTAATTTCATTAAATCAAAAAATTATTTAAATAACTAAACCTTCTGTTTGTACTCATTCATTTGACTTATACAGGTGCTGAATCGCTACTCAATTCGATTAATATTCATCGTTTGACCGTTGTTTCAAGCGATCATAATTTTATGGTAATCTGATTTAATCGGGCTTCATTTTATCAGAAATTGAATAAACTCGGTAAACGAGGAAGATTTCGCAGTGATCTCTTCATTCGAATCCTTCAACAAATACACCAGTTCACGAACGCGATGTTTACAAAGTTAAGAATCTTTCCACTTGTATGTGCAAGCTAGATAGGCTTTGATGTAAGTCAACTTCCGCTATTACAAAATAACTCCCATCAAAAGTCTTCTTCGAATAATTTTCTCAAAGAACGAAATATAATTTTCTTTGCCTAATCAATTAAAAAAGATCATCAATGGCTATCATTGTAACTTCAACACGTCTTTACTCATTCTTGTTATAAACTAATTAGATAACATAAAAGTATCACGAAATACCACTTATGGCACATCAATTTAAAGCTTAAAGCTTCACGAAAATGGCTACATAAACGCATCATCAATATTCGTTATACAAAATGGCTGGTCGTCATTATTAACAAACACTGTCGTATTGATCTATTGTTTGTTTCAACGAAGAACCAATTATTTTATATTAACAATATTGATGAATCATTTATATAGCAGTTTTCATTAAACTTTAAGCTTTAATTCTACATGCCGCAAGTGTCATTTCGCGACACTTTTATGTCATGAAATTATATTAGATTATCTATGTTTGAAAATCTGCCATTTGATGCACAATAATCTAATACACGTTCGAACTACAATTCATCTTACAGACATAACCGCGCTTGTTGAAACTCCATTTGTCACTTTGATGATATCCTCCCCAGGAATTTCCCCCCACACCTCGAAGATTCTATCTTCAAAAGTTTCCATGTTTTCAACTGGGGTAACACAAGCCCCAGGGCGCAGATAAAACAGTATCATACGTCATTGACAAGATTTTACGCGTTTTCAAGTTTTTTTTTTTTGTTAGTTTCTACACCTGGATTTGCTTCCAGTTTCGTAATGGAGTTTGTGGAATAAAACTCTAGGTCCATTAGAAAAATTAAAACAAGAAGAAATAAAATATTTTTTGTTTTGCAGAAACAGGTCAACTTTCGAATATATTTAAACATTTCTAAAAAATTTATAATAACCAGAATTTTCTGCATTCTGCATTCCATGGAACACGATGAAAGAGAACAATGCTTGTAACAGAAGAACTATAAATCCGAAGCAAGAACGTCCTAACAACTACAAATTTAAAATTACATCACCTGATATTCGGACCGAATAAAATAAGTGTTATCATATTTCCAACTGAGATTTCAAGAATTTTTCAGTGTAAAGTTTCCTGCAATCTTTAATACTCCATTTTTAGCGTTCTTTCGCGAAGGATATAATATTCCATTTCGAAATTTCCTCACAACCGAAGATCCCTCGAAACCTTTCATTAGAAGAGACGCAAAGCAAGTTTTGAAAAATGTATTTAAACGAACCCTAAGCTCGGCGAGGATGATATTTCATTTATAACTCACCGGTCCTTTGCATCTTTGGGCTAAGCATGATCACAGGTTGTTGAGAAAGGAACGCTTCCTTTCGACGATCTCCGCAATAAATATTGATTGTCCAGAATACCTTGTATAGGGTGTTGTGGTAGAGAAAATAGCAGCGTGATAGCGTGCGCGGATGTTTATTGTGGCGTAAGTACCTTAGGAACTCCAATTTCTCGAGTTTCTTCAGCGTAACGCTTCCACCGACCTAAAACGACAAACAAAAATCTCCTTATATTTATTATACAATAATTTATATATAAACTGTTTTTTCAACCCCTTATTACATTATTATATCATCTTTGTATAAAAGGTTGCAATAAATAAACCAGGATAGTGTTTCGCTATTAAATCTACAGCATCGCCATTTTGTTTCCTTTTTTTAATCATTAACTTTTAAATTGTAGACAAAGATTCGTTTAATAAATGCCAGTAAAGATGTATTATACTTTTATTAAAAATCAGGTTTAAAATTTTCTATGAAAATTTAATTCTTTAAAAAGAAAAATTAGTAAATCGCGATTTAAAAACATTAAATGAAATTTCGTGAAACGATCAGAGTACTTTTAATTCGAATAACAATTCTCCCGTGTAATTATATAAATCATTCAAATAAGGGAATATTTGTTTTGAACCTCGCATCTGTTGTTCGACTGACTCGATTAAATATTCTGAATTGCTATCTCGCTTTCTCGCCTATGCCTCTCTGTTACGTTCCAATTTTATTTGATGTTGGAAATGAATAAAATCTTTTCATTTCGTATCGAAATATTTCGTACGAGCTCGCAGGATTAACGTATTTTTATTTCTCGGAATATTCATGGATCTCCCAGAAAATGTACGCGTTCCTATCTCGCGGCCGTGATTCGCGAAATTTTATTTATGCGTCGTTATTCCGCGACCTAAAAGCTGTTACTGAAACTGATTTTTAGTTTCGTCAACGAAATTCAGTAGATTGAAAAATAGGAAGGTGAAACGTCTAACGTCGATGAGGTATTTACCGATCCAAAAAATCTAACAAAATTTGATAAGATTGATATTCCTTTTTCTCAGGACTCAGGGTACTTATTATTTAATAGAAATTTACTTTTATATTATTAAAGAATTTTTAGATTTCAGAATCTCAAAAGTTTAGAATATTCAAATTTTCAAGTTTCCTAATTTCCTAATTTTCTAAGTCTTTTCTACCTTCCTAATTTCTTAAATTTATAACTTTTTAATTTTCTAATTTGCCAAGTTTCTATTTTCCTTATTCTCCTAATTTTCCTAATTTTTTATCTTCTAATTTTCTAGCTTTCTAACTTTCTAACTTTTTAATTTTCTAATATTCTAAATTTAATATTTCAGAAATACCTAACCAGACCCCAGCTTATACTTTAAAATTCGTTTTTAAAGGGTTAATTTCGAAACGCATACAGTCTATCAAGATTTGATAACATAAAAGTACCATAAAATACCTCTTATGGTACATCAATTTCAAGCTTAAGCTTCAATAAAAATAACTACATAAGTACCTCATCAATAATCTTAATACGAAACAGCCAGATCTTTATCGAGACAGACGATTAGTCAATTTACAAGATATTTTGATTGTCGTTAAATCGCTATTTATATGAACAATGAAAGGATTTTCATACTTATAAATGAAGGAAAGTATCTTGTTGTTAATAACTCGATAACGGATGTAATTATTGAAAACGAACGTAATTAAATACTTCACTACAAAGATACACCGTTTATATTTTAGAGAGGAATTATTTAACAAACCTATAATTGCATTCAGTGACTATTTCAAATTCATTATCAATATAATGTAATTAAAATTCTTCGAATGTACTTGCAATAATAAAATTAATTGATTATTAAACATGTAGCCAATTGATACACATAATCCATTGACTATTGTTTACTTTAATTCATTAATTCTCATTGATATTTAAATTGAATAAAAATCGTAAAAATTTATTATAGAATCTAATCATTAAACTTCGAATATAATTATACATTATTTTCTTTTTCCAGACGATTGACAGTATTACCTTCTGTATTGGAAAATCTAATATTTACACGTCATCTATCATTTAACTCGCTCATAAAGCACGCTAAACGCTGGCTTAATATAGCTAGTGTCAAGTTTCGATTAACGTTAAATCCCAAAAAAAGTGATAGAGGAAATAGATGAAAAAGAACGAGCGAAAGTTCGAGGACGCTGGTACAATGAGAATCTGATCACCGGAAATATCCTCTGCTTCATCGCGGCAACCGGTGGACAATAGCCAATCAATGTTCTATTCTAAAAGAGTATCAGTCCCGATTTATAACAAAAATCTCGTACAAAATGCAAAAATGAAAGTACCAAATATTTTAAAATGATAAAGATTATTAATCGTAGAACTTGAAAAATAAATTCAATTATATTTTTTTATGTTTCGATCATTTACATTGGTCCTCTGTAGATTTTTATTGAAAATAAAAACTACTAAAAATTTGATGAAGCTTTTAATATATTGTATTTTTAAAATTCCATTAATTAATGCCTTGTACGGATCCTTTTAATTATAATATAAAGCAATTGGAAGTATGTGAGGAATAAATCACTAATTAATTAATTGCGTAACTTGGCGCAGAATAAATGACAAAGTAGAAGAAAAAGTTTTGATCGGGAAATCAATGAGAAGGTGTCACGAACTGGTCTAAAATTGCCTGAAATTACCCGTTCAGTAATTATTGGGAGGGAAAGGTCGCGTTAAAGACTTTCCCACAGAGCGAGGCCGTAAATCAGGAAGGAAAAAGCTTCTTTGCGAATTTTCGTCGAACCAGAGAAGAACTAAACAGTTTCACGAGTAGTAAAATCAAATCGATAGTTCGTGTACTTGCATAATTTAAAATTTTCAATTCCGTAGCGAACAACAAAATTGAACTCTCGTCTCTGGTAAACGCGGTATAGTAATTTAATTCGTGCAAGAAATGCGATATTTTGTATAATTATTCCTACCCTTTTAATTAACCCTTCGATAACGAATGCTGAGTCATTAAGGAGAAGCAATAAATTTTGGAAAATTTCCTTTCAAAATAAACTGTTATTTACGTTTTTATTTAGAAAATGCATAATTTCTACCGTTTGCATTTTCATGGATAAGCTTATCAGAATTTCAAATGATAAGGGGTTTAAAGTATGACAAGCAAATGGGGATATTTCAATATTTTACCATTCTTTTAATTGCAAAGTGGTAATAACGGTTCTTTTACAACTGGGGTACCCAAATACCCCATAGGGCCTATTTAAAATAAACATTAGACGAATGTAAAAATATTCAAAGAATGGAGATTTAAAACAATTTTGAAATATTCCAATATCGAAAAGGGGTATCTAGGTAACACCAAAAATGAATGATACCTAATTAAATATTTATCCTAATACTTAAATCATAATTTTACTAATTACTTAAATTTATAAACGAGACTTACGACAGAAGATAAGTTAACAAAAGAATGAATAGAATCTTATAACCATAAATAAATATTAAAATAGAAAACCATAAAAAGTGAAGATACAGCAAGAATATATGTATTTCTTTATCACAATACCTGTTACTTCTCTCGATATATCTCTCCCAAGTGCTCGACTGATGCCGCACCACCTGTTCGTGCTCCAGATTCAGTGTCCCCTCTCCTCTCGTTGCCTCTTTAAATATATATTCCCTCTAGTGCGGATGTCCGCGAATGCAGGGATGTCCGTGGCTGCTTCGCAACCGCGAAAGAAGTTGCGATCTCTAATCGAGAATCTCGATTAGAAAAATCGCGGCCAAGGCGATGACGAAGAGGACGGGATTCGTACGAACGAAAACGTCGAGACTGGTGGCCCGTTACCGGCACCCGACCGTCTCATGGCCGATGATGTTTCGGCGTCGGGGGTCGCGACGTGCCTAACCCGACGCGTCGCCACGGGTTAACGGGGCTGCCTCCTCTGCTCTGCCTTTTCTCCAACCCCAGAAGCTGCGCTCACCTGTCACTGCGCATACTCCCGTTGAAAGCCACCCCACGGCATGGGCGGATCTATATGTGGGCTAATTGGGCTGCAAGAAATGAGATCAAGTTCAATACGACTACCGTCGAATCGATGAATCGATGCACCGGTTGCTACAAGCCTGATTCGTAACTTCCTGCATCCCCTGTTTTTTTATGCTATTTAGATGGAGGGTGATTTATTCGAAACCTAATCATTATACTAATTATGCAAAATAGGTTAATTAAGTGCTTTTCATTTTTTGGTTTTCACGTCTATTATCCACACTGGTGGGTGATAATTATTTTAATCTAAATGTAAAGTTATCATCCCTGGACTACTCTGTAAATAAATAATTATCAAAATAGTTAAAATAGGTATAAATTTTATTTTTTCACGCCTATTATCCTCACTGGCAGGTGATAATTATTTTAATCTAAATGTAAAGCTATCAATCTATAAACTACCCTGTAAATAAATAATTATCAAAGTAGCAATTGACCACTTATCCTCGTTTCTAATATAAATATTCTAATAACTATGACAATCTTTTCTATGTTTCTAGAGGAAATGCTTTTCTATCCCTTCATAAAATTGTTAGAACTGAATCGAGACACCTAGTATGTATAAACGACGAGCAGGCAGAGAAATTAGCTTGGGACTGCGAAAAGCTGGCATCCAACTCTGCATAACTACCCTCCAGGCAATCTGACCCTTCTAAATATCCGCATCTCGTATCCCGTGTTCCACGACGCACCAAACTTCCCCTTCGCGTCGCTTACGATCCAGGTTGTGCCGGATCGCCGCACCAGAAGGTTTACCGAAGATATGTCGAAGGAATCTCGAACGTGACCGCTTGGATGGAATGAGAAGGATTTCTTGACTTGCCAAGGGGGAGGATCTTCATACTTTCGTGATCTTCATCCACTTAAATGTCTGCAAGCGTAACGAAAGCGGGAACTAACGTCACCGCTAATTAAGGACTTGATATAGGCAAAAGTTAGAAATGAAAATTTTGCAATAAAAATAGAAAATTGTGAGCTAGCCCTCCAGGACTGAACTGGGAGAGAATGGGCCCAAATTTGAATTAATTAATTAAACTCTAAATCTTTTTGGTCTACTAGAAATTTTTCAACCCCCCATGGACAATCCGCTCCTGAACTAGCTCCTCTATTTTTAAAACGCTGGTTTTCCATGTTTCGTTGAAAAGAACTTTTCTATTCCAAATGCTTTGCATCGTATTTTGATTTAACCGAACGAATTGAAGATAAGTAGGATTCTTTTCTTACGAGAAAGTACCAAAGCGAGTTGAAGCTGCCGCTTGCAACGTGAAAGCAGAGCTATTCAGATTCTTCAACGTCACCATAAATTGTTACGAGTCTTTTTGATGAAACGTATTATACTCAAAGAATAGCTCGATTTAAACTTCATACAGAAATTTATTCTCAAAGACAAGATTTCGAAAAATCTTTCACATGTTTCGAGAGTGTTTGATATTCATATTTGTGTATGGAAAATATTGTTTTGAGAGCAGAAATTCCTGTTATGAATTATTTAAATCAATCCGTCGCGTCGTTTGCTAAATTGTTTATATCAAAGGAGGACGGTAAGAAGTTCTTAGCAATTCCATTGAGATGTTAAAATGAAATACGGATTCGTCCTCAATCGATCAAACGTTTTAGCCGTCTGTCGGTTTAAACTTTCTGAAAGAGTATTTTCTTTACTTTATTTCAGCTCTTTTTCTTACTGAACAGCGCTGTAGTGATTCTCAATCATTGTTTCACGAAGTTACAAGTGTACTCGGCGCTCTTGTTATCACAGCGAAGAACCTTCTATTTAGAGAGACTGTGATAACGTGGGAAATGCGAAGGGAATTGTTACCTCTGTTTATTGAATTAAATTTTCGTATTAATAACAGTAGAATTATCAAACGGGTCAAAATGACAGAATCCTGATTTTACATTATAATTTCTATTGGCTTTTGGTGAAATATAGAAAATCTCAATTTTCAATTTAAAAATCAGTGTGCATTTAACGCTGGTAATTCTACTGTTAATTACAATGATTAATTTAAATAGTCATGATTTAAAACTAATTATGTTTTCGTGTCAAGTAAGCATTTTTGGAAGATGAAAAGTCTCATGATTTGGTGACATAAATTAACACTTATGGAATATCAGTTTGCATTTTAACATTGCTTCATAACTATTTATCGCGCAGTAAATGGATATATTATAATACAGCTTCCAAAGACTGAATTTAATATGCGTACGTTACCATATCGCCGTTGTTTATATTCCTGCTGCTTTTCGTCTTCCTAATCCCTTGTGCGAATCAGGTCGCTGATCCGGTTCCAGCTACCGGGCTTTCATATCCTACTATGTCAACATCCTCCGGTGTTCTTATGCTTCTTGTTGTGATTACACTTCTTCTGCTGAATTCCAATCGACTTCCAAACAATGGCGTGATCAGAATTTGTATTTAAAATAGAAATTATGAAATTCTGAAATTGTTATATATTAGAATAATTAATTCAAGAAATAGCTGATCACTTTTTCTTCATTAGTAATTTATTATTATCAGTATCTAATAATAGGGAATAAGCTCAAGTAAATGAATCTGACAGTAATTTAATTGGAAGTACAGCTTTTGTGAAACTCGTTTTATCTGACAATATCTCATATATAATTTGATAATTTAATTGCAGACAAAAGACGAGCAGTAATTTTCTGGTTTCCAAACAACAAATGTTAATAGCGTTGCGCTAATTGCACCGCACCGTCAGAGATAAGGATTTCACGATTCAACTATCGTAATCGCGGTAATTTCGATGCAGTTTTACTGCTATGGTACTAAGTTAATTTTGTGAAATATATTGCAAACCTTTGAAATAGACGTTAAGTAGATTAATTGTGAATTATTTCATTTAATAAATATTTGTATCATACCTGCAATTAATTAAATTTTGAATAACTAAATATTTTAAAATTAATTTCAAAGACAAATAATAAAAAGATTTTGTTAACTCCCTATGCATCAAAATATACTATAATTTTGGGATATAAAATATAGGTCATCGAAATGATTTTTCTATAAAAGAAATTGTTTTGAATGACGGTTATTACGATAACATATTTATCAACTGAAGCTTATGTACCAGCTAATTATAGACAGAAATTAGTTTATTAATTATTATTCAAGATGAAAAACGAATTTTGAAAGTACGATATATTTGGATTTACAAATTAATTACATAAACCGATGCACCTTTTATTTAATTGTCTCTACCTGATCTCGATATAATAAAATAATATCTTTTTTATTTACAATTGGTAAATTAACGATTGAAGATTATTATATACCTGTAACCAGTAAGTTACTGTCAGTCGACCATTTCTTTACTGACGATAATACAGGTTGCTGTATTATCGTATACCAATCAAACAGTTAAAAATCAGACCTATCATACAATGCAAATGTCTCTACCAAATAGATGGCATACGAAAAGCTGTATTTCTGTTTTATCATACAATACCATCAAACAGTTATAAAGAACAAGTTAACAACAATGCATAAGTTTCAGTTTCAAATATGATTCAGACATTCTATGACAGATGGTACCATAAATACTATTAATAATTATATATAACAGAAAAAATTAATTAATAGTTAGTCCAATAATTATGGGAACAATAAAAATTAAGAATAATTAAGAACCATTAAACAGGATGTTCTGGTAGGGGTGGACATCCTTGGAGGGGATGGTAGCTGAAATGATACTGAACAACTTTTTCCTTTATCAAAATACTCTCCAAAGTCTAGTTTATAAATTATTAATAAAAAAAATAACGACCAATCAGCGCGCATAGCGCGCAGGCTCGGCCGCGAGGTGTCAGCTACGAAGCGCACTCGACCGCGGCCGCGAACAAACTACTCAGCTGCGCATCGCACTCGGCTCATAGCCTACACTCCTGCGCCCGCGCCTGCGCACTAGGCGCGCTCCGAGTTTGCGCAGATTTTCATTAATAATTCAAAAACTAAGCCTTATAGAGCATTTTGGTAAAGGAAAAAGTTGTTCAGCATCATCCCAGCTATCATCCCCTCAAAAAATACCCACCAATAATCGAACACCCTCATAATTATACCTAGTTTTTAATCACCTTGTACAAAAATTCTAATTACCCCGTAATGATCCCATAAAAATAAATTTTTTCTATATATATAATCCATCAAAATACCATTCAGCAGCAGCTGTACATTGTATTATACCATTACAATTAATTAATATGTATGAACGCTGAAAGCGATTACCTGAATAAAAAACTGGCCAGTCGGAAGTCTCTATCGACTGGAGTAACGTGTGTTTCGCACGGCACTCGCACGGCTCGCGACACATTAGCAAGTTGGTAGCCTTCCAGGCACGTCCTTTCGAATGAGTCCTGGCTGCCTTCCAGCGTGCAGCCTATCCTTTTACGGGATATCACGGCGGCCGGGTGAAGCTCATCGAAGCGCCCAAGTAGGACCGTCGTCGCCCGTTCCTTGTCGGCGGATTATCGCCGACAATTGCGGCAAGTGCATCGAATTCCCCGGCGATTGTCTACGAAATTGCGAAAGATTGCTAGCTCGAAGAAGTAACTCGTTATCGCGGTGCTCTGAAAGCTGCGATCTCTCAGCGGATTTGAATTAGTCCTCAGAACTTTTCGGCTTTCTATCATCGCGAAAGTTTCGAATGTATCTCTTTAATGTTAAAATGACACGAGAGTTTTTTTGCTTTCTTTCCTCGTTACATACATCCTCGAGACACTTTGTGCGCGTCGTCGATGGCGAAAGGGGGTTGGAAACGGCCGTTTCCCATTTCAACGTTGACACGCGTCAATTATTGAGCGCCGCGGAGGTTGACGCCTGGCGACTGTAACTGCGGAAATTGCATCGTATTCGTGAAACAGCTGCGCTCGTAGCAGCCGCCCCAGGCCGGCTATAAAAGCCGACAGACGCGGGATAATTTTCCTCGGAGCGGATCGTGGCTACGTGACGGTGACTTAGATGCCGTTTCCTCGGGATCACGAGGAAAACCGTATCGGTCCTGGACCGCGGCACGGGTCACGTTTTTCACGCGAGCTTCCTCGCTTCTTGGCCTGCTTCCAGGAATCCGTTCACCCTTTTACGGCCGGGTGTCACCGCGTCTGGACGGTTAAAGCGTGCCACTCGGTCCCCCGACAGACGGGCTTGTCTCCGCTTCTTGCACGGAAGCGGCAAATGCTAATGAATGGGTTACCCGGCTTCCGTTCGTCCTAAATCAATAAAGCGTTCGATGGATAAGTCTTGTTTAACCATCGAACGACGCTGGCCGGATCGATCGTGACCCAGACCCGCGGCACGTGTAAGTATTCAACTTTTCGAATGAAAAACTTTCGAAATAATTTATATAATACAGCCCTGGTGAAGACCTCGAAGGTAGAAAATGCGAGGAACGAAACAGCTGACGAGTACGAAGCTTCAGAAAAGAGAAATACAAAATCTGATGTAAGAAGTTAAAAACTAAGAAACATCAGAAGCGTAAGATTTCAGGAAAAAAGATGAAGTTTTCCAAGGTAAGGGGGAATACTTCGTAACAAAGAAAGGGGTTTAAACATACGTGTATGTAGATGCCACGTGGAAAAGACACTTGAGAAGTGAACAGAGAGAAAGAAACGTCAAGGAGAAGATACGTTAGCAAAAAGAAATTTCGCAAAGGAAGAACACCTTGCAGGAAACTCTTGATGGTAAGTAACTCGAAAAAGAAGGCATATATATATATATATATATATATATATATACCATGTAAAAGGGAAATTTCAAATGGTAGTAAAAAGTGAACCGAGGCAAAATAGAACGAAGGAAGCAGTGGTTTAGAAACGTCAAATAAAGACGGGAAGAAGAATCAAGGGACAAAGAGAGATCTCGCGGGAGTGACGTAGAACAAAGAAAGACTTTACGGTAGAGAAATTAAGAGTAACAAAGTTCGTGAACGCGAGAGACCTCGGGAGAGACTGGAACTTCGTCAAAGAAGTCGAACAGAGAGGCAGAAAGGGATGGATAGTTTGAATGATACGACGGAAGAGGGAGAAGCAAGCACAGAGAATCAAGAGAAAGGGACATCGAGGGAAGACGAAAGGTAGGACCGAAATTCTCATTCCCGAGGACTAGACATGATAGGGATGGTGTAAATGTGCACAGGCCTATTGTGCGATACGAGGAGCAATAGCTTCTAACCGCGTACGTATGTCTGTACGCGTGGCTTCCTTTATTGTCGAGTATATTCAGCTTGCAACGACTTTTGGGGATGGCGAAAGGACGAGGGGGTGAGAGATGGTATCTGGGGACTGATGAAAAAATGATGGATCGCAAATCAGTGTGCATTTTGCAAGGGTTGATATAAAAATATGACATTTTCAAAATTAATTCATTTGAATGACCTGTATATTAAAAATAAGAGGAAGGGGTTGGGGGAAATATCCTCTGGTCATACTTGCTGGCGCCTTCCTGATCGCCAATTGGATGATCACACGAGTCAAGGGAGGACGAAGTGCTTATTGCAATCATCCACCCCCAGGAAAATCAACCCCTTCTTGCTCCCCTTCGATACCACCAGTGTAGTTAGCATTTCACCTAAAACAAAAAATAGAATATAATTAGTATCATTGTAAAACCAAATACTAAAATAAAATAAGTGTTACTCCAGAAGTCTAGATTTTTTCATTAACACCCCTGTAAAGTCTCCATTACAAAATTAATTCCTAATGAACAAACAATGTACCAGCTTCTAAATTCCAATAAATATACTAAAAGTATTTCTTCTTCAAATCCAATAATCAAAATAAATTGAAGGGACCAGGATCCCAACCGAATTCCTCCCTCAATCGTATTACATCTTCCCAGACCCCGAATATCCGCGGGCCCTGTAGGTTTTCAACGAAGGACGATGTCGTCCCGCTAACGAGGCCCCGTTCTAATCCTCTTACCGTCCCCACCTGCTATATATTTTCCCTTGCAGTCGTTATTTTTCCAGTAACCCTGCGCGTTGTCCTCTTCTTCGAAGACAACAGGGTTCGGATGCGCGTCTCTCACGGTGTCAGTCTTTCCACGCTCGGGCAACACTTCACGGGCTGCGAAAACGTCGGCGAAAGGCGGTGCTCGGAGAGGAGGAGTAGGATGAGGAGGCTGGAGATTCCGCGGGATGTCTGTGTTTGTCCATGGAAATCGGCAAAGGAGGTCAGCGTATGCAAATAACAGGGTCGCGAGGATTGCCAGAGCCAGGAGGGTCCTGTGGGTCAACGGACAGCAAGGTATATAAGCTCGTCTCTTTCCAGCCATCGACGATCATCTCCCTCGCACGCTCTGGAAGGGGATCTCTCCGTTGTCTCTCCCTCGGCTCATGCACGAGCTCTCGCACCCAACGACCGTTACAGCACCATATATTAGGCTGCTGCGCAAGTTCTGTCCGCCACTTTGTTCCTATCACTGGTACACGCTATCGGTGTTATCGTTTCTGAGAAACTATCGATACAAACAATGGTCGGAAAATCTGAGGAAGGGTAAAATAAAATATTTTTATTAGAGAAATTCAAGATTTCCAAAATTCGATTACAAAAATTGTACGGCAATTATGGTAAATTTTTTAACAGAAACAGAAATTGTTTTGAAAAATTGGATTTATAGAAGTTGTACTTTTACGGACAGAAGTTATGCGGCAAGCTGATATTTCTAGAGGCGGCAGCAACGATGGTGGCGTAGCGTAGTCACGTCTACAGATATAAAGGTGGTACTAGCTCGCGTGTGCCGGTGTTCGCCTACGCTCGTGGAAATATTCGATTTTTACGATACGAGACGCGAGCGTACCACCGGTGAGAGCGTACGTCCCTTGTACCAGCCACCGTTTTTACGTCCTCCTCCCTTCCTGATTCCGCTGGAATCATTCTTTTTCCTTTTTCCCTCGTTTCTCCTCCACGCTGACTTGTTCCCGACCCGTCTCAGCCTCGAGTTCCCTTCGTTTCCTCGGCTTGATCGAGGAATTAAGTTAGGACGATTGGAAGCTAGAAAAATGGCGATACCGGGACACGAATGTCTGGCTGTACACTTTAGTGCAACGTAGGCTTCTTATACTTAAAAATAAGTGCAGTATTTGCATTTCCATGAAAAGAAATTAAGTTACCCTAGAACCCGGTGTTTTAGCTCTTGCAGTGACGAAAATCATCTTGTTTTGCATTTTCAGTCGGTCCCCTAGTTTCTGTCACCCCCGCCCCTTTTTCGTTCCTCTCAAGGGTTCGAGGAATTAGACAGGCTTGTAGGGGGCTCAAGGGAGCAACCAGATGGCGAAAGCTTTGTCCTTTTCCTGCTGACTTGATTTTGGACCCGGTATTTTTATCTTTGATTACACCTCCTTGGTTCTTTTTAAATTTCTTTTTATACTGCTTCGAAAGCCATTGTACCAAACGAACATTTCAGTTACATTTCAGATTTATTAAATATAATATAAATTGTGCAATCGATACGCGAAGGATAAAATCGTTAAATGCATCGCGGTCGAGATGAGCAAAAGTCATTTTATAAAACGTTTTATCTAACGGTGATTAAATATCAATCAAACGAAAAACAAAGCCGTTCGGAGTTTCATTGAACTTTCCCGAATCCCCGAGAGCGAAACCATTTTCGGTCCGCGTAGTCTCGCCGCGGCGTCGGTCAGAAAATCTCACCGGAAGCGGTCGGGGAGAACCGGCTGGGAGAGACCAACGAACGCGGCTTTTGCCGTTCCTTTTTTCCCCGGTGTAGCCCGAAGCCAGCGCGAGGCAGAAAGAGCGGTACCGTTTCCTTTCGCGAACGCACCGACTGCATTCGAATAAACCGTGCCTACGCATCCCTCCTTCCACCTCACCGTCCGCCCTTTCGCCGTGTTCCCGCTACCCCACGAGACCGATGTCCCGGCGCGCAGCGTGAATTTTAATTAAAGCAATTAAGCATGCGTCCATAGGTAGTCGCATTAACCAGGCGCGAGCGCGTTCGCGTTTCTGGCCGCGTTCGAAAACGCGATCGACAACGAAGAGCTTGGACATCTGGTTATCAGCAGCCAACCCTCTTCGATAATCCACGAATGTGGATGCTGCTAATTTCGGTTCGATGCTCGATGGGTCTTCCTTTTAATTAACACTCGCTTGATTAACCCTTCTCTGAGATCGCATCTCCCTTCTCGCGCTCGTTTCTTGAAAAGGGGTGGTTTTTCGAATGGACCGAGGTTTTAACTCGAGATGAGATGCTTGGATCGAGAATGGATTCTTATGCTGGATGCAAGAAATATATTTGTCGAGTGATTAGAGAAGGAAGCAAATGTTTGTGCGATAAAATTGAGGTGGTTCGAGGTGATGGGGCGTAAGGGTTAACGCGTTAAGACATCTCAGAGGGTCCGACTAGAATTTATATTTCGACTCCTGTGCTGTTTTTCGATCGGGTGCCACTAGGGAACTACTCGTTCGTTGGCACACGGATCGCCGGATCCGTATTGGATTTTTGCTTCTTTTTTTCTGTTTTGTTTTTTGCACGGCTCGAGAGAGAGAGGGTATCGGACTTTTTGGAGGAGGGCAGAGCGGGGCGAGGAGTATCGCGGAGGGTAGATGTGAATTATGGTCGGAGGAAAAGTAGTGGGACTTGTCGGGGAAAATTGGTACGATTTGCGGCATGGTTTCTCCTCCTTTTTTTAAGACTGTCGATATTCTCCATATTTTTTAATTATTAATATAATTAGGTCATTAGTGAAC